TGTTGTTTCCTTAAATTTTGCAACATTTGGATAATTATTTTCTTTCAAGAGATACATTTCTAGAATTCTTAGATCAGGACTAGCAGTGAAATTTCTTCACACAATTGGAATTTAGAGAATCTATTTGTTGCATAGTATGTCCATTGGCATGGAGAAAGCAGTTTAGACCATTTTCATAATTAGAAGGTTCCGGTGACTTGTGCTTAAATCCGAGTTTCTAACTTTAAAACAGAAGGTTTGTTCTGAACATGGAATAATGCACTAAAATATTTTGATGAGAACTAAGCCAAAATTATTATGAGCCAAAGCTAGAATTGCCTGATTTTATGTTGCTTTTTCCTGGAAAATTAAACCAAAAAGGAGATCAGATGGATCTTTAACAGTAGTTGGTAAATTTTGCTTTGACCATATCAGATGCATCAACTGTGTACTTATAATAACTCAAATAAAAGTTCATTTCTTTCTGAGTTGTTGAGCAGTATGCTGAGTCATTTTATGCTTCAATGTTTCAAATCTTTTACTGTGTTTGGATGGCAGTAATGCACGAAAGTGATCATCTTTTGCACTGCATACTACCTAAATAATATAGGACATGGTTTTGTGGTTGTGGTGGTGCATGGTTTACAGATTGTGCTAGTGTTTTATGACTTTGGTCTAACCATGATTCTAACTTTGGCTTCCAGATGACAACTGCCATAGCCATTGAAGATGTCAGAAGGGAGGTGATGATATTGAGAGCTTTGACTGGGCACAATAATTTAGTACAGTTTTATGATGCATATGAAGACAATGATAACGTCTACATAGTAATGGAGTAAGCTCCAATTCACATGATGTTTATTCAGTAATGTTGCCCTGTGTGTTAAGTTTCTTTAAGTTCCATGTGTTAAAAATTGCTTTCAAGCAGTGGGGACTTCCCTTGAAGTGACTTTTCATGTCATTATTAAAATGATCACTATTTCTTGTGCTTAGGAATTTCTCTTGTAGTTATCATTGTTTATGTTTCCTTTTGTTTTGTTATTTTTTTGGCTGCCTCTTTTCAAGCATTAACCTGATTACTTATCTGCATCTTTCAGGCTTTGTGAAGGAGGAGAGCTTTTGGATAGAATATTGTCAAGGTAGTTTATTTTCTGTCAATTATAAACCAGTTCATTTAGTTTCTGAGATTTTTAATGCACATAGGAACTTTTTGATGTGTGAGGGACGAGGGTGCATAAAATTTCATCACTGTATCAAAATGAGTTTTCTTTTTTTAAACAGAGGTGGAAAATACACTGAAGAAGATGCAAAAGCTGTGATGATACAGATACTAAATGTTGTGTCCTTTTGCCATTTACAAGGTGTGGTGCACCGGGATCTCAAGCCCGAGGTTGGTGGAATTTCAGTTTCAAAGTGCATATCTTGACATCTTATGATGCAAGTGGTTCTAATTTGCTTCCAAATAAAAAAGAAGGATAATAGGAACTCAGCAATACAAAGTGTCAAAGTTATAAATGATTGCACCGAACTCATGAATTTAAAATGCTTCAAAGAAAAAACGTGCCACCAAAATTCCTGCTGTGACTTCTCTATACTCGTGTACTTGCACATGCTTTATGTTATTCTGCTATGTTTTTAACTGTAGCTTGTTGCTGGACCAGAATTTCTTGTTCACTTCTAAGGACGAAAATGCACTACTGAAAGCTATAGATTTTGGACTGTCTGATTTTGTAAAGCCAGGTTTGTTCCATCTGCCCCTTGATCTTTGATTGTAGCTCAGAAATCCATTATCTTTTTACCAAACTCGTGTTTTTTTTTCTTTCAGATGAAAGGCTCAATGATATTGTTGGCAGTGCCTATTACGTAGCTCCTGAAGTTCTGCATAGATCTTACAGTACAGAGGCTGATGTTTGGAGTATCGGTGTCATAGCATATATTCTATTGTGCGGCAGTCGTCCATTTTGGGCTCGAACTGAATCTGGAATCTTTCGTGCTGTCCTGAAAGCCGATCCAAGTTTTGAAGAACAGCCTTGGCCTACCCTTTCTTCTGAGGCAAAAGATTTTGTCAAACGTTTGTTGAATAAGGATCCACGGAAAAGAATGACCGCAGCTCAAGCCTTGTGTAAGTTTCTCTGATCACATTTTACGTTGTTTGTTTTTCCGTGTAGTGCTAAATATCTTATACTTGTTTCAGGCCATCCATGGATAAAAAGCTGTAATGACACGAAAGTGCCATTGGATATACTAATATTCAAACTCATGAAGGCTTACATGCGATCATCTGCTCTAAGGAAAGCTGCTTTACGGGTGTGTGTATGCTCCTATTAAAAAAAGTTTTTTTGTACTATTATCCATGTCCGGATAACCTTGCGATCTTCATTTCTTGTAGCTCGATAATCTCTGGTAAGCGGCTAATATTTAATGCATACTATGTTCTTGGCAGGCTTTATCCAAAACATTGACTGTGGACGAGCTTTTTTATTTGAAGGAGCAGTTTGCTCTGCTAGAACCTAACAAAAATGGCACCATAAGTTTGGAAAATATAAAAACGGTTGGCTTTCTCTCCCCTATTTAATCATCGTCTGATTACTGTTATTGATTTGTGGCATCCTCTCAAACTCTGTTTTCTATCAGGCCTTGATGAAATATTCAACAGATGCCATGAAAGAGTCTCGTATCCATGATTTTCTTGCATCGGTATACCATCTTGCTCTGCATTGTAACTGATAATGTCGAGTGTTTACATTTGTTGCTGAGATTTCTCTTCTCTCTTCTTCATGGCAGCTTAATGCACTACAGTACAGGAGGATGGATTTTGAGGAATTCTGTGCAGCTGCGTTAAGCGTCCATCAGCTCGAGGCTCTTGATCGATGGGAACAACATGCACGATGTGCCTATGAAATCTTCGAAAAGGATGGAAATAGGGCCATAGTCATCGAAGAATTAGCTTCGGTAAAATTGAACTTCCCCTCGAGTTCATTATTTCCTCGCACAACCTTTCCGAGGCGATTTAAGCAGTGTTGCAAAAATCGCTCCTAGGCGCTCTAGGCACTCCAGGCGCCCTAGGCGGTCCCCAGGCGCCTAGAGGGCGCTTAGCGATTTTTTCAACATTGGATTTAAGTAAACCTGTCTAAACAAATTCCCCATTTCAGGAACTTGGTCTTGGCCCTTCCGTTCCTTTGCACGCCGTTCTCCACGACTGGATCAGGCACACCGACGGAAAGCTAAGTTTCCTAGGATTCGCCAAATTGTTGCACGGCGTGTCAAGTCGCACGGCTGCAAAGGTCCAATGACACTCCACACGCCCGCCTACTAGGCTCGATCATCATCACCCTTTAGCTACTTCTTTCTCCTCGGAGCTGATAAGAGGCGACTAACATGAGTTGCGGTCCATCATCTCCCTCCACAAACACTTGCAGTGGGCGCCCACCACCGCGACGAAATATCCAGATTGTGAGTACACCGATCTCGCTCCTGCCTATTTATTCTCAGAATACGCGATGCAGCCATTGTTTTCCACTTCCGCCAACGAGAACAGCGCGATAATGCTCTCTCGTACGAAGGCCATAGTTGTGTTGTTTGATTTGTTTCTGTGAGTAATTTTCTCAGCTGGTTAGTGGACAACCATACAAGATGTTCTAACAACAGTAACCCTATTGGACTGCCCTTACGCCATCAATTGTCTCTATCGTCGTAATCTTTCAGAATGCTTTTTGTGTTGCTTAGTTCTCAACCCCAGGAATGAATTTGTTCATACTTTATTAACATCGCCCAATCTTTATTTGTCTGTTCTGCGGATTGTTAATCCAACTGTAAATGCTGCGAACCCTCTATGAAAAAGAGAAATTGACTTTTAAGATAAAAATAGAATGAAATTAATGAAAATAGACCACTTTTAGAATTTAGATTTTAAAAAGAGTAAAACTTTGATTCAGTTGCCCTAATTGGTAATTGACTATAATGAAGAAGCCAATTTACTTTGCCCATACCACATTAATAGGCAACTCTTACCAAACGTCTAAAATTCAAATTTGAAAAAGAGAAAATTTTAATTTTGGTTATCTGACTATAGGGGCTTTGTTAATTTCAGCACTTGACTTTCAAAAGTATCAATTTAGTACCTTGACTATGCAATTTTTATCAATTTTGGTCATTCTGGTCAAATTGCCGGTCAAATTTCGTCGGAAAATTTTAACAGTTAAAAGATGAATTCGTCAGAAAAGATGAATTCACCGGAAAAAATACCCTCATTATTTTAACTGTTAAAATTTTCCGGTGAAATTTGACCAGAGTGACCAAAATTGATAAAAATTGCATAGTCAAGGTACTAAATTGACACTTTTGAAAGTCAGGTGCTGAAATTAACAAAGCCCCTATAGTCATATGACTAAAGTTAAAATTTTCTCTTTGAAAAATTATCAAATTAACTATCCAATCAATTCAGCTGATGTTTGTTAAAAAAGAGAGTAAAACTATGATCACAACAATAAAGTAAGGGATCATATATGTCCATCCGACTAGCCCTATATTTTAAATATGGATATGAATATGAAGTATAATAGAGTAAATTTCTAAAACTGAAATGGTCACTTGAATATAGTATAATTTATAAATTGGTTCTCAATTAAATCCTTAACTATTCAATTTGTATCTGATTTGGTCGTCCCGTAACTCCCACGTTTAAAGCCCGTCATCTTCGAGGGTATAAGAGTAATTTCATAAGCTTGTTGGTCCTAATCAGGTAAAAATTAAGTAGTTAAATATTTAATTAGATTCTAATCAGAAACATGCCATTTAATTAACCTATTAAATTTTATTTATGACAAATAATTAAATAATTTTTAATATAATTAATTCACGCAATAATTAATAATTTATAAATATAAAAGAATTTAATATGGTAATGACAGTTACAATATAAATTTGAAATTTCCGTTTGATGATGCCTAATCGTCTGATCGTCTCTCACGGTAAATGGGCAATTTCGTATATTCATATTGACGAATAGCAGTTGGCGTTTGGCAAGCGGGAACACATAGGGCAATCATATGTATTCCTCCCAAAACCTTCAAATTCAATCGCAGATTGATATCGACCAGTGAGATGGCGGGGACGGGGGGAAGAGGTGAAAAGCGAGCTCATATTATCATTTCTTCCTCGTCGTCCGGATCAGAAGAAGCAGAAGAAGGCTCGGAAACGTCGGAGTCGGAATACGAATTTCACGGCGACGATGTAGATACTTCACGGTGATCTCTATAACTTGCAATTACTTAATCGTGTAATGTTAAGCGTTTTTTGTTTGGCCTAAGTTAATCATCGATAGATGTTTTGCAATTTCTTCCGGTTAGTGAGAGTGGTTCTGAAGACGACGGAAGTGAATGGAGTGGGTCGGATGATGAACGGGACGAGTCTTCCGAGTCCGAGGATTTCAAGGAGGAAGGTAGTGATCACCATTTCAACAGAGTTATGCGTCTCCTTCGAGGTAAGGAGCTTTTCAATTTTTTATTTTTTATTTTAAAAACAAGTGCAAATTGCCAATACTGTGTAGTATATACTAGTATTCGATTTGTTAGATAAAGACGTAAATCATTTTTGGTATTCATAAAGACGTAAATCATTTTTGGTATTCACTTTGTGTATGTATTTGAATATGGCTGGTGAATTGTTTTCCCCCCCATGGGAAATTATGTGAATTTACTGACATCAGAATCCATGGTAGACTTTAATAATGTGACCTCACCTCGGTTGTATAGGAGGGGGTGATCTACAGGAATTGAAGTTATCAGAGTGTAAAGCATACCTGCGAAAACATGGATTAAGGTTATCTGGGACTAAAGAAGAATGCATAGAGAGGATATTGGAGCACTGGAGGTAAGTTTTCCTAGTTACTCCGTATTTGATTTGCTTGTGCTGGTAATCTCTCTCTCATGCTTCAATTTGATGTTGATTTACTAACTAGTATTCCATAATTAATTGCCACTGCTTGAACCTTGAATCAGCCTTGACTAGACCTTTCCTTATTTTCTATAAAGCATGTTCTGCTATTTGAGCACCTTCCAGCTTTATTTCCCTGATTTGTAAATACTTCATGGTGGATGAAATATGCTCTGATACTCATAATGCATCAGTTTGTTGTAGTTCTTGATTTTTATTCATGGAATAGTACGATGCTAATATATATGGATTGCTTTTAGATTTCTCATCTGTGCTTAAATGATTTCTTTTAGATCATTGACTCTTCTTTTTGAGTTCTTTGGGATGTTGTGATCCCCTAATTTTATATGGCTAGACCAAATCATTTTCAGCATTTTGTTTGTGTAATGCAATGTTGTGTCACTTGTCTTTCTCAGGATAAAAGATGGAAAGGGTGAAACATTCTATCCCAGATCATCATTCAACATTGACTGCACTGGTAGTTTCTATATGACATAGCAATACACGTTCTTTCAGTTCTTTCTACTCTTCTTTTTCCTAAACCTTTATTGCCTTGAATCTACATTCAGGTGATGTCTGCAAAGGGGATGTTGTATTATTCACACAAAAAGTATATAAGAAGTATTCTCCCTACTTATCTTGTGTGCTTTCAAGTACTAGACTTGAAATATTCTAATGTAGGTTTTAAATTTTGTTTTTCCTCATATTCAACGAGTTATCTTGATCAGTTTTGACAAGATGACAAGGAGTGGAGATGTTTTAGGGAAGAGAACTGTTGCTGGGAGAATTGTTAAGGAAAGTTATGGTGCTGCGAAACAACAACATACTTTTACTGTAAGGATGAGTAGAACTCCAGTGTCAGTTTCACCGAAACAGATATGATAGAAAACCAACCGTAAAATCAAAATGTGAAGGCTGATGATTTAGATGGATAAAACGAGTCACGTTAACACGTGGTCTCTGTTTGTTTTGCTTTGCAACTCATCCTCCCTTCTATTCTATGGGCTAAACTAGGTTGAAGTGTTGTGGAGCCAAGGTGCTAAGAAGTTAACTCCTCTTTTCCCTTTGCTTGTTAAGGGTCGGAATCTCTATAAACTGAAGACTTTCAGACAAGTATGCTACCATTCAGTTAAGGCAAATTTTATTCTGTTCTTGTCATTAACCAATGCTTGTGGTAACAGATTTTCTCTCTACTCCTTTTACCAGCGATGGAAAAATGAGAATGAAAGATTAGGAGTACTTGCAGAGAAGCATAGACGAGGAGCAGCTGCTAGATTGGTTAGAGAAACTAGAAGGAGTAGATCAGTGAAGAGAAAGCAATCCTTTACAGATACAGGTACAACTATGTTGCCCATCTACAACATTTCTTTGTTTTATTTTCTTTTATATTTCTCTAAATGATACTTGTAATTAGGTGGTGTCAAAAAGCAAAAGTGCGATCACACAAGGCCATCCCAAGTGAAGCAATCCATGAAAGGTCGTAAACCAGAGAAAGAGAATCACATCCATAACCGTGGAAGCAACAAAAGTTCAACCTATCACCATGGAAAGCTGCCTCAGACTGGAAAACAGAAGATGAACCAGGGAAGAAATATCAAAGCCACCTCATCTCATCAAAGACCCCCCAATTATGCAAGTGCTAATCAATTTAGAGAGAGCTCATTTCATCCGTTTGCCTTTCAATCTGATATGTACCGCCAGAGCACATTTGTTCCACCTCAGAATTATCACCAATTTCAATCTCAGACTTACAACCAGAGAATCCCACACCCTTATTCTTATGATAGGGCATCTGCATCTCACCAATTTCAATCTGAGACTTACGACCGGAGAATCCCACACCCTTATTCTTATGATAGGGCATCTGCATCTACAATGAATATGCCACGTGGAAGCTCTTCATCTTCTGCAATGGCTAAGCAAAAGCAGCATAAGTATGGCCATAGAAATTAATCACTCCCTTAGCTATGTACATAAGACCAGTTAGCCTGTGCACCCTACTGGGATGATGAACATCCAAGATCAAAGTGTTGATTCACATTCGTTTTGGTTTATATCCTAAATCACCGACCTTTTATTTCAAGAATTAAATGCCAATAACCTTTACAGATGGAGTCATGCTACCTCCCTTACTGAGAGTATCTGGTGCTGTGCTGTAGGCGACCAAAAACAAGAGACCACCCCACAGGTCAGTAGCTCGTCATTGGAGAATCACCAATCATTTGTCGATCTTAAATACTTAGATTAATTATATATTCTCGTACGGAAGAAAAGAAAAGTAGTATCTGTCCATACATACTTTCTCAACTATTGATTTCGCTTTTTCCAGAACTCTGATTCCAAATGTGACCTGTTATGCGTACTGAATTAGAACACGAATCCCCTGATCTAACCATGTAAACCCTGTACCCATTTGTCCCCTCTTGGTCCCACTTCCTCTCCCATAATATCATAATTCCCATGCTTAATTCACTTAATTAAGAGTTCTACTACATAGACTCTCAAATTGTACTCCCTCATTTGTACTCTCTAAGGTAGCAAACTAGGATTGGTTATTTTTAATATGTGGGTCCACAGAAAAATGTCTACATCAAAAACATGTAAGAGAGTACAAATTGGGAATATAAAATGAAAGTACACCAAGTATTTTTCCTTAATTAAATATTCTTAATTCATTCATTAAGTACAATCCCATCATGAATATCAAGCTCAGAGTATATACATCACAATCAATCAACACATACATCAAGTCATCAATCTACCTTCATACAGTCCACATTCCATGCTCTCATCAACAAACAACAGTCCTTTTCTCCAAATTTTTTGAATGCAGATCTCAATGCAAGTGTCTATATCAAGATTTTATATGAGAATAAAAATTATGAGCATAGAGAAGGAGTGTACATAGTATTTTCCTTACTAAATACTAACATAATATTCACGTCTAATTTTTTTTTGAAAGGAGCCAATGCGGCATAATTTTAGACATAGTATTCACGTCTAATTAATTTTGCTAGAGACCTCTAATATTTTTTCCCTCTAATTCTTCTCTCATGATGTTAAATTATGTAATTGATAACTAAATTTTATTTTTAATTAGTGGTGGGTAAATAAGTTCATAGTAATCAATGAATAAAAGTAAAATATTAAAGGTGAAATTTGTAACTATCATGTAGTATGATGGCATTCTGATTACCATATGAGTGGTTATAGGTTTAAACCCTAGTGGTGGGGACTCAAATTTGTTGGGCTGAAAATATTTGAAAAAGTATAAAACAAATATTACCTAGTAAAGAATACTTTTAGTATATATTAAAAATGCATGTTGTATTTATGGTCCACACAACTAGGTGGATCTAATCTACCCCAAAAATTTATTAGACCAAACAAGACAAATTGTAGCTCAGACTTGAACCTAATAAAAATTGTACATATGAATTTTCGTAACAGACTGAAACCTAATTTTCTAAAGTTCTGCCCGGCTCGGTTTATTTTCACCTTAGGGTAATCATATATCGGCAAATTATATCGTGTACCGTGGTGCATAATCGATTATGCACCGCGCATCAAAACGACGTCGTTTTATTTAATGCATAGTCTCATTTAATTATTACTATATATATCTAGGTTAAATAGGAATGCATGTTAGTGTTAAATAGAGAGCACACTGAATGACGGCTCTCTGCAACATGAAGAAGGAATATAATCAATATATAGTACTCCGTAATAATATTATTCTTTCACGTTTTATTCTTTTTTAAAAAAATTAATTAATTTCATGTTAACATAGTTGACACGTGGCGGGAGAAAGGTTATTCCATGTGAGTCTACTGTGTAGCTGTGATTTTCCAGGAGCATGAGAGGTGAAAGGCTATGCACTTTATTGAATTGGGTTTCCAGAATTCTGATTCCAAAATGTGACTTCTTGTGTGTACTGAATTAGAACACGAATCCCTTGTTGTAACCATGCAAACCCTGTACCCATTTGTCCCCTCTTGGTCCCCCATAATATCAAAATTCCCATGCTTAATCATTCATTAATTACAGTCCAATCATGAAAATCAAGCTCAGAGTACATAACATCACAATTAATCAACACACATACATCAATCTTCAATTCCTTGATACAGTACTAAGATAGTATTGGGTTTTTGTGCTTAATATCCCCCTCCATCCCTTGTTATAGCACCCTGGAGTTGCAAGGACGAAGATCCATCTCCTGGGTCCAGGCAGACCGGTCTTGAATGTGCAATTGCCAATAGGTCTGCGCCAGCGCTTCAGGGTCCATCCATCCTCCGTCCCCTCCTCCGCCCTCGCCCCTACTCTGTTGTTGCCACGACACCGATCCCATCCCACCCCTAAAGAAAGAATCAGAATTGATCCATAAATTTCTCGAAACAAACAAAAGATGAAACATAAATCATGGAACAACTAAGCCCTCTCTGGGGACTAAAATATTACAGAAATCAAATTTGAGCCGTTACAATGGTGCGCCACATCTATGCAATGGGCATGGACCAATTAATTAATTGGCTATATATTAATTATTATATTGTACTTTAGATTAAACGTAAATTCGTTGTTGAGTAGATACCTAGCTAGAGAGATTCGAAAAAGTAGGAAAAAGAGGAATCTTTAAGAAAGGGCAGGCAGACAATATGATGATTGAGAAAGATGAAGGAATAATAGTGAAACTGAAGAATCTGGCAGACAAACCTGGGTGTGCCGACGATGCCGTCGATGACGACATGCGCCACGTGTATTCCCTGCGGCTGGAACTCCCTCGCCAGGCACTGCGACAGCGCTCTCAGTGCAAATTTCCCACAGCCTACATTTTATTATAAGAACTGGATGGAGATTAAATCAATTATTTATAATAAAAATTCATAATTCTTGAAAGAACAAAATTCAAAAAAATCAATTCTCCGATCCATTCCCGGCCAGATATATATATATATTTACATAGTTCGGAAAAGCCAGCAATGCCGTTGAGAGAAGCGGCGCAGCCGGTGAAGAGAATCGTCCCTCTCCCTCTTTCCACCATGCCCGGCACCACCTGGAATCCCAATGCAATTCCCCCATGCAACAAGGGTTTATTAATATTATCATTATATATAGTATATATAGATTATATATGTGAAACTAATTAACGTAACCTGTTGAGCGCAGAGGAAGGCGCCGACGGAGGAGACGGCGAGGGATTTCTCGAAGCTTTGGATCCGAATATCGGTGAAGTTGGTGGCGAGCCAGGAGAGCTGGTGGTACACATTATACACCAGAACTTCCACGAATCCCAGGGACAGAACGCCCTCGAATGCTTCCAGTATGCTCCGGGACTCCGAGCAGTCGATTCCGATGGCGAAAACCTGCGCCTTTTCTTCCCGGGCTATCTCGTCGGCAAACCTCGACAATCTACCTGCACTTATAATATCATTCTCAAAAATCAAATCAAGACGGCATTGAATTGAAGCTAGGGATTTTAATTTGAATGGAACGGAGTGCGTGATTGTATACCTAAGTCGCGGGCTAAGATGGCGACGGTGTAGCCTTCGTGGGCGAACTTGCGGGCGATGGAGCGGCCCAGGTCGGGTCCCACGCCAACAATGGCGGCGATGCCTCTCGTAGAGGTGGCGGCGGCGGCGGAGCTGCCCATGTTACGCTGCATTTTTTGTTGTCTCCGATCCGTGGCGGATTTAATTGAGGGAGAGAACAGAGAAGAACGGTGGTGAGGTCTCAGACCATGCGTAACTCTACCTTTCTTCCACCGTCTTCTAAGTACTAGCTAGTGTCCCCTTCTACCCAAGTTTATTAATAATTATGGAAAATGACATATTTGTTTTTATTCTTTAAGGCAAACCTAATTCTCAAGTTTTTCTTGGGAGTTTTAATAATTAAAATTTCATAATATACTGTGAAAATTTAGTTGCAGGATACAATGCATGTGAAGTAAATTAAAGATTGGAGTGGACGACGGCTCTGTACCCAGTAATGATTGTTGTGGCCTGGTGTCCACGTCAATAAAGCTCCATCTTACTAATGTCCATTGTTTGTTTCTGCAACTAAAACACAATATCATATTCTTTGTCGATAATCATGCGAGATTCATCGGCAAAAAAGTGTGGTCTATAATTTTTTCTTTTCTTTTCTTTTATTAATAACACCATCATACGTCTCTCCATAAAATATACAAAACCAGTCCGTATGGGCAGCTCAGCTGGGTGAAATTTAAAAATTATAACCAGGGATCGAGTCTTACCAACGACAGTGTAAGAAAAATCACTGTGAGAGAGAGAGCTAAAAATTTTAGTATAGTGATAAGCGTTTCCTGTAAGGCTTACAAGTGCTGGCATTTGATCCTAACAATCCCAGTATATAAACACACGATTGTAGTTAAGATGTAATATTGATCTTTTTAAAATATTTAGTTGCAAAGTACTTATTTTTATAATTATGTGTTTTTTTAAAAAAAAATAAATTTTTATTAACCGTATTGAGTTTGAGTAGTTTGAACTTCTATCTAGTCGAGTTCAAACTTACAAAGTTAAAATTTGATCAAATTTGAATACATCTTAAATTTTTATTTTTTAAATGGCATGGACATTTCAGACTCAAGTTGAGTCAATATATAATTACACACTTAAATTAGACACCAAAGTACATCGGATTATGCTAATAGTCTTATAAATAGATTAGATTAGGGAAAGCAAGAAAGTTGGAGGAACAGTCGCATGTTCGAATAATTGGGTGTCGGTTGGGACCCAGTGCTAAAATTCTATTTTTTGAGTCAAACTCAGTCGGATACATATGTTTTAGCTAGGAAAGTAACATCTCATTTCACCCAAACTGGGAGGGTAGGGTTCTCCAGGAAGAAAGTTTATTTGTAGGTAAAATAGTAAATTATGCCCCTCACAATTACGTCATTTTTGAATTATTTGTGACGTAAATATTACCCGTAATGTTCAAAACATGACATATATTGCTCATTTCTTGAATTATTAGTGATATAAATGTAATTATTAGCCGTTTTTTCTATTCAAAAGACCATTTTTTTTCCTCCATTTTTCTTTCTTTGTTTTTTTCCTTCAACCAACAACAATGTTTCACCTTTTCCTTATTAGAGAAGATGCAATATATATCACGTTTTAAAAACTGAGGTAAAATATTTACACCACTAATAATTCATGGATGACATTAATAATTGTCATATTTGTGAATGCATAAATTACAATTTTGCCACCAGGACTATGTGGTCCAATGGTATCCGGGTTGGACTTCCACTTGGAAGGTTGTGAGTTCGAGCCTCAGTGGAGGTGTTATTAGCTCTTTGTGTTTCAATAGGTTGAGAAAGTATATGAACAGATACTACAATGTAATAGAGCTAGTAGCATTCAAAAAAATTACAATTTTGCCTTTATTTGTATGTATATATAGTGAGATAAGAAGGAATATTGTACGGTTTGAACGTATTTAATGGCGACTCTGTATCAAGGCGGCGGTACAATCAAGTTGGAGGAAAAAACTCATATTTAACACACTTTTTTAGAAAAATCCAGCAGTTTGAAGGAAGTACAAAGGGCAGAAAAACAGGGGACCGATGCCCCTCAGCCTGTCGTTTATGATTTTTGGTTTTATTTAGTTGCAAGTTGCAAACTATCCACCCACCTTTTTTCTTTTATCTGCCAAGTACTTTTTTTTTTTTTTTGAGAAATCTGCCAAGTACTTGTGATTTTATACTTTTCCAAATGAAAGATCATAGATTCAAAGTTTATCCCAATCAAAAATATTGTCGTAATCATATTAGATAGATACTATAGATAAGATAGATGGTAATTTTTATTTTTTTTTTAACAATTTTCTGTCACTATATCTCCCATTGTTATATCGTGAACCAAGGTCCACAATGTACTATGGACCCTCATCCAATACACATAATTCATGTGCATAATGTACATAATTCATGTTCATAATGTACAAAATTTATGTTCATAATACACATACACATAAACACAATATAATGAACATGAATTCTATGCATTATTAACATGAATTCTGTGTATTATATAATTAAGGACACATAAACACTTAATATAATACACAGAATTCATGTTCACAAGGCACAGAATTTATTATATCGTGTTATGTGTATTATGAACATAAATTCTTTACATTGTGAACATGAATTATGTATATTATAAAGTCAAATTCTGTGTATTGAATCAGGATCCATAATTACAGTGCACTGTGGACCAGATATAAATATCTCTGCAGGACGCCAGGTTTGTATTTATGTATGATAAACTTCTAGTCCAATTTACATTCTTTTCTTGCCATGGTTGAGCCCAGCTCCAATTTGGCTCCAGACCAAAGAGAGTTGTGACATTCTTCAAAATATAACAAAAACAATTGTACCCCAATCTCGAGAACCCTCACCTACTCCTTTCTCAAATCAAGACATGCTCCTTTCCTATATAGTCTTGTGGATGAGGTAAATCACGACATGTACCTTAACGATCTCCGAGTTTCTTAAAACCCTTGTTCACTGGTACTCACAATAAGGCCAATTCCATACCTTCTCGGGTAGAAATTGAACCATGCACAAAAGTTGGTTGATTAATAACTGCAAATTGTTGGTTAAAACTGGCCCAATTTCTAAATGAACGGGAGAACAATAGAGCCGTCAAAATAGGCTTAGCCTGCCCCGCTCCACCTTTTGGGCTTTGAATTGTATGGCTCGTATTTTGGCGGGCTTTTTAACCCGTCCCACCAAAATGGCAGGCTTCGGCAGGACAGGCTTTGACGTGCCGGTGTGGACTTTTTAGCCCGCCACCGCCATATGGCGGGCCCCACCCCGCCGACCTGTTTCGACAGCTCTAGAGAGCAGAGTGATACGTTACCTCTTACCAGTAGTCTCATTTTCATGTATTTGTGGTGCAAGTCACAGGGAGGTTTAAAATCAAGGTTCAATGGTGCACATCAAGTCAAAATACTAGGTTATTCTTAATTTCCTTTTTTATCATTAACCTTCATGATCAGGACAACTTACAACTTTCTGTGGGGAGTTGTTCATGAGGATCTGAGGCCCCCTTACAAAAAAGCTATCAGAGTTGTTTTGTATACCTGGGGTTGCCATTGGCAACACATTCTTTGAGCTACCAGTCAGAGGAAGCCCAAACAGGTGGTCTCCCCATATATCGTACGTAAACCTTTCATCCGACCTTGTTTCCTCGCTTTTCATGGCTTTTCTGGCGTGAAGTTTTGACCCTGGAGCACGTGCATTTGCACAAGGTGGAGAAGATGAAGCAGAGATGACAGATGGACATGTAACATATGAGACCGGTGCAGAATGGGTTGCAGAAGGCAGCATAACAGGCGCATTAGCCAATTTCTTAGTTGCAGCGGGCTTCTCTAGAGTAGTAGCAAGGGAGGGCTTCTCGGTTGCCTCGAGGAGTTTTTGATTGCATATTGGTTCGGATTGTACACTGTTTTCACATTTGGAAACGTGAGCGAATGGACTAGTAACCCGAACAGACTGATCCGAATCTGGAGACTGAGGCCACAGTCGTTTGTGTGTAGAGGTAGAGACGGGTGAAAGGGGTGATGATGGTGTAGAATTGCCACTGTGACTACTCGAAACATCGAAAAGTCCACTCACTCCAGTCGACTTCTTGTGCTTTCTCCTTCTCCTCCCTTTCTCGTTTCCAACCTTGACCCTGAGATCCCCCCCAATTCGCGATGTTTCTTGTGTATCAGAGCTCCCAATTGCAAGAGAATTTGATCGCTTCTTTTGGGTATCGGGCAAAGTAGTGTCGTTCTCGTGTACTACAGGAGTCGTTGCAGCTTTACTGTCAGCATATGAATGTTCAAAAACCAATGCCCCTTCTTCCTTGTATGGTCTGACTAAACCAATGATTCTAGAGAGCTTTCCACTTTGAATCTGATTATGAAGCACTAACGGTTTTCTCGTATGGTAATAAACATTGCCAGTGCAGCTTTTCCCGCTCTTGGGAATATAATCTCGGGATTCATCGACAGTAAAGCTAACGAGAGACTTCCTCAGTTGGGTCGAGACGATGAACAACACAAAAGCAACTAGAACCATTGTGAGGAAAGACTTTCTTAATCGCGCCAGAAATGATTTCTTGCAGATGCTAAGCATGTACATGGGAAGAGTAGCTTTCATGGGTATCACGAGAATGCCAGTAGTCAAAGCCAGTTCGAGATCTCGGTGTATTGTAGCTACAGAAAAATCGGTCTGATAAGATACCACGATCTTTCTGGACTCCCCGGGTGCAAGAGAAAAGCCTTCGCAAGAATTTACAACAAATCCATCCAACCGGCAATGGGTGCCCGAAATTTCAATTCTTTTGACCTTCAGGGGCAGATCACCGATGTTCTTTGCATAAACCTCTTTCGACAACAGTTGAGAGCAGCCAAGATGTTTGCCATCCATCTCGTTTGTACCGAGAAAAGATGAATTAAGGGCAGGTGGCAAGTTCATCTTGAAATCTAGACTACGAATGGGCTCAGACTTTTCGACCAAAACCATAAGCAAAGACCCCCCAAATCCACCGAGAGAAACCCACTCCACACCAGAAAGGTTGTTTCGTATTAGGGCTGAACTTTGCCATCTACATTGAGATCCGGGATGAAACCAAACCGGACCTAAAGATGCTCTGTCAAACGGGTGGACCAGAACCTCAGTCACAGCATTTTCTGCTATCGAGAAACCATATCTTGTTGGAGCCAGAGAAATATTATGCAAAAAAGTATTGGACGAAGAAGCCCGCATGTGCCTTTCTGGTGTCCTGCATTCGTCAACAATTTCTGCAGAATTCAAGATTAGCTGCATCAGAACTGGTTCCGGGCTCGGGTTTTTAACACTGATCCACTCCGAACAGAAATGCCCAACTTCAATCACCGGGAAGACAACCTCATGTTCATCAAGCACAGACATGTCACTCACAGTCGCTTGAGATTTCCAGTTCATCAGTATTGCTTCATCAGCTTCTGCTGCAACCGATGCCTTCAGATTATACATAATACAAAGAACTCAATCATCATGAACAATATTCGTATCATAATACATGCAGGACATATTCGAAACTTGAAGGGTAAATAAAAGGGGTATAAATTAAAGAACGAGGATCAGAACATGCCTACCTGTGAATCGTTGTTGTCCAAAGAACTTGCTCTAATATTCACAGATTCTCCACGTCGAGAAGAATATACCAATTTCTCTCTTGTACAAACACTGACTATATTCTTGCAAGGAATCTCAACCCGAGAATTTCTAGAGCCATTTGTGGATACAACGATCTTGCAACTCATGTCTATCTCGGGAGAATCGAACGCTAAAGCATCTGGAAGGCGGTAGCTAACCAAGGCTACTTGTGTAGCAGTATGGGGAAAAATTATTAACCCCTTCATGTATTTAATCTGAAACTGTTTCGAGTTATCTCCTTCTCTACCGATTTTGACGATACTCAACACATGAGGAGAATCGTTGTGCACAATGAGGGGGGCAAGGAAGACGGTTCCACTATAACTACAAGGCATGACAGTATCGAGAGACAATGAAATAACGTTTTGGTGGTCATCATGGCCCGGTTTCTTGGTCAGCTCTGCTTCTAGAGGTATAATAACCGTATCAATATTGTTCTGTGAAGACCTCAGCAACTGCACACACAAACCACCAAAAATCTTCGCTTCCGAGTCCCACGAAAAATCGAGCTCCATGATCGTCTCGCTTTTCTGCGGACCAACAACCCAATTCCCGTGAGGCCTCATAGCAACTAGCGGAGAACCAACTCCGCCATTTGTAATTTCCAGCCACCGCTTAGCATTGAGCAAACTAACGTCACTAGAATCTTCTGCGTTGTTAATACTACAAACTGTTTTCGTCAAGTTGGAAGCGTTTCCCATCGAAACAGACGTCCAAGAAATTACCTCCTCCACATGGAGGGCTTCATCGAAGGGGTTAAACAGCGATATATTCTTACTCCACCTACCACTAGACGAAACATCAAGAGTAACGGATTGAATTCCATATGGCGATTCAACAGCAAACCCTTTAGCACGAACCAAGAAACCCCCGAAATTTGTCTGCAAAACTAGCTGAGCTGAGGAGAGGCCTAAGGATGTAGGCAAAAACACAAAACAAACCGAAGCAGCCTCACCGGGAGCTAACAATATCTCACTAGAATTGCAAGGGTAGAACTGAGAGTTCGTACTATAAGGCTCATACACATGCAAACTGCTGTGTTTGTGTGTATTCATCACCGTCACAAAGGCTAACGAAGGAAAATACAAAAAACTCTCTCCCCACTCGAGCATAGGAGGGCTAACTTCTACGTTAGGTAAAGAACCACCCGAGAACTTCAATCTGATACTGTCATCCACTTGTTTTGTTTTCAAATTCTTGGAACTATCATGTAAACAAGAAGAAAGACTCGCTTTTCCACTAGTTCCAGGTCGGTAACATAGCAATGGATTACGGCCTTCATGGTAGTTCAATGAGCACGAAATACTTCTCCCACCTAGTAACCTAAAAATACCAAAATCCGACATTCTGGTAATATTAGCACTACTATCTCCATCCGACTGCATAGGTGCTTTGTCTGATTTAACCAACGACAATCCATCCACAGTCAATTCAGAACCTTCTTTTTTAGGTAAAAACTCAGGCAATGTTGAAGGGAAGCAAAACAAGTTTGCATTTGGGCATGCAATGTCAAGACTTAACTGAGGTGCAGAAACTTGTGTCAATTCTGAGCCTATATCTCCACCCAAAACACCAGGAAAATTTGTATCCACCCCTCTGTAGGATCTATAAGCATCACAGTTAACCTCATTTCCAGTTTCTTGACAAGGTTCACATTTAGCCACAGTAAGAAGGGCAGATAACAGAATGACAAGGTGAAACACAGCCCTGAAAACATTACAACACAAATCAATACCTAAATTTAAAAAAAAAAAATTAAAAAAAAACAGTTGAAAAATGGTTAATTCCAGCACCCCAGAAGCCCAGAACTGAATTAGGTAGAAATACAGTAAAACTGTTCAAAAAATCAACAGCAAAAAAATAATAATAAAGGTCGGAAATTCCCATATATATGGAAGCGCTCGATAACACCATGATAAACAGTAGTTCTTGTTCACAGTAATAACCCTCCAAATCACTTCCATAAATAAAACATTTAAAGCTCAAACAACTATCCAAATGAAACTGCTTAAAAAAATCAGATGGAACAGTTAATGACATCATAAATACTGGAACCTTTAAATGGTATGTAAAATTTTAATCAAGCAAAGTTTCACTCTAAGTGATCATCAATTTTCAAAACGCTCCCCCAAAAAAAAAAAAATTAAAAAAAAAAATAAAAATCACAAACTGCTAAAAAGCAAAACTTTTTTGGGTTGAAACAAAAAGCAGTGCGAAACCCGATGATCGGAGAGCAAAACGGGCGGTGCCCGGACCACGGGAAGTAAAGAAAAACGAGAAGAGTTGACGAGGAAACAGCAGAAGAGAGAGTGGTGAAGTTACCAAGAAGAACGCTGCGGCTGAGGTTTGATCATTTTCAGGAAGAGGAAGAATAAGAAGAAGAAGAACTCCATGGCTGAGAAAGCGAAGAAACCATCCGCAAATCTAGAAGATTCCTTTCCTTGTTGTGTTTCAGTTTTAGGGATTTTTGTTGGAATCGATTTCGTCCAGGAAAATGCTTGGAGCAAAAGCACACCTGATAACAGCGATGAATGAATGAATGAATGAATGGCCTCTGAAAAGAAAAAAATAAAACTGGAAAGAAGAAGACAAAATGCCCCTTCACTGCTCAAAATTACTGTACTACCCTCCAAGCGGACGACTTTTTGTGTGCCCTTTTATTTTTCATTGTGGGCTGACGTGGTCAATTAGTTTCTTTTTTTTTTTTTCTTTTTTTCTGAGTTATATTTTTAAAAATCAGTTTCCAAATTCTCTACTAGATTATCAAAATTCAATTGATTGTTATATATAGTGTATTATTCAGGAAAAAAAAAATATATATATATATATATATATATATATATAGAACTATTTTATTTTGTAATAATTTTAGTTAAAAAAATTTGAAGTGGTATCGTAGTACGGAGTAGTACTTATTAAGATAAATAAATGTTGTTTTAACGTTCTTTATTATAATTTTTTTTAGATTTTGATAAGTGCATATTATCGTTGTCAATAATAAATGACTAACGAAGATTTTTAAATAGTGAGTTTAGATTATGTTATGACAGAACACATTAATGTAACGTAAGAGCATGATTACTTTAGTATTAAGTATTATGTGTTGGCCGAGGTGTACAACCATTTAATGAAATGGACGATATAAACATCTCCATCACTTCTAGGTTTCTTGTTTACGGTAAGTGCAATATAACTCATAATATGGAGTTAAAAGTATAGGTACAAGTTTAACGATAATGGCGAATAAAGAGACTTAAGGAGCCTTTTGCTTTCCCTCTGAAATTTCATCACTTAATATAATAATCTCTTGGTAAGGGTGTGATATCGTTGTCAATAATAAATGAGTAACGAAGATTTCTAAATAATGAGTTGAGATTACGTTATGACGGAACACATTAATGTAACGTAAGAGCATGATTACTTTAATATTAAGTATTATGTATTGGCTGAAGTGTACAACCATTTAATGAAATGGACGATATGGACCCTCCATCATTTCTAGGTTTCTTATTTATGGGAAGTGCAATAGAACTCATAATGAGTTAAAAATATAAGTACAAGTTTAACTATAATGGCGAAGAAAGAGATTAAGGAGCCTTTTGCTTTCCCTCTGAAATTTCATCACTTAAACCATCTCCAACCCAAAACACCAAATTTTACAGCAAAATGAATATTCTCAACATATTCTTACACCAAAATTTTGTCATCTCCAACCCATTTATACCAAATTTTATTCCTACACTAAAATAATTTATATTCTCATAAATTAAAAGTTTATATTTATACTTTTATTATTTTAATATAACCTATAGTTGTAATTTAATATAATTTAATAAATTAAATTTTAATTATGTTTAATGTAATTTTATTTTTAATTAAATTATATTCAATATTAGTCGCGATCTTGTTTTAATCGTGTTGATGAAATCTTTCAAATGATATAATCTTTTAAAAATAATATACAGTTTATTTAAATATTTAAATATTTAACAAAGGATGCAAATATATATAAAAAAAAAAGGATACAAAAGGAATTATAAAAGAAGATAAAGGGCAAAATAGGTAAAAAGAATTACCCCAAGAAATGGCGATGATGAACTGTACCGCGTCATATATGGCGCGGCACTGTTCATCAACACCAAATTATTTGGTGTTTTGTCGTCCCATTGGAGCTTATTTTTTGCCGTTTTACGCCAAATTTTTTGGCGATTTGGTGAGATAGCGTTGGGTTGGAGATGGTATATAACACATGTTGTGCGTGAGAGCGAGAAAGAGAGTGTCCCTTCAAAATCCATATAATTTAATAACATAATAACAATTAGTATTATTTCGATTGTCAAGTGGGAAGCGAGTAAAAATGAATTGATTTGTGCAAGTACAAAAATATTAAACTTTTAACACGATAATGAAGGCCTAGAGCGTGTGGGCAAGGTCGGCATTGGCCAAGTACACAATGAGGATTTGTTGTAAAGATGTTTTATATGATCCAACACATAAATGTAATTGAAGTCAATACCCTCTCTGTAGAACTAATATGAGTTCCTAACTAGTTAAAAAACTAGTTAATGAAAATACAAAAACTTTCGTTATGTCTAAGTTTTTATTTATACGAAGTGTAAAGAACCTACAACATAAGTAAAAGCATGATCACAACAACAGTATCGAAGAAAGGAGATCGGGGCATCCCATTCCTCTTATAAAATGTTGCCAGTTATATATATATATATATATATATATATATATATATATATATATATATATAGTGTGTGTGTGTGTGAGAATATATACTTTTGCCCCTCCAATATTGTGTCAAGAAAGACAATGTATACATTATAAAAAAGCATAAAATCAAAAATGTTTTAAATAATTTATTAAGAAAAAAAAAAAAGAGTCTAACACACGCAATTCGTTTGTGCATCACAATTCAACAACAAAAGTGGAATAGAAAGTGATTTGGGCAAGTGGCCAAAGGAAATTCTCACCACATTTTAGATTTCTATCTTGCTAAATTATAATTATTATAAAATTGAATTGTCTTTTCATCCACTTATAGAGTTAAATCATTAATTTTAATTATTGAGTTAATCAATGATTTGGTCCCTCAATTATTATCAAATTGTCAATGTAGTCCCTCAATCGCTTATTCATTGATTTGGTCCCCGAAAATAATTATTTTTAGTCGATTTAATCTCTCTGACCGTCTTCCGTCAATCAGCCGGTGAGAACTCCGATTAACCATGGGCAATTTGGTCTTTTCACGCCATCTTCTTCATCCTCTGACCAAGCTTCGCCGGAAAACGCTCGTCGCCGGGAAAATGGAACCTTGCAGGCCTCGAGGAGCGTCACGAGGGCGGCAATATTGCTATGAACATACGAGTGGGGATTCTCCATCGCATATCTCAACTCGGCCTGCGCCACCCCAGTCTGATCGACAGGCAATCACGACATCGTTGATTAACTCTTAATTATTTGTTGATTTAAAAAAAAATGGCAATCATTACTTGAAGGTAAATTAACTTACGTTAGCTATGAACTGAGAATGTTAATAGATAATTTCCACAAATAATTAACTTTGAAACATTGTAATTACCTAGCTAATTGCGTGATAAATTCGATTGTCTTTTCTTTAAGTGTGGTTTCACTCTAATAATATTTGTAAGAGTTTGTTTATTTCGGTCCATTATACCTAACACATAGACTTTCCTTTTGACTAAATTCAATGGTTATGACTTATGAGTACTATAACCATTAGAATACTAAAATTTAAAACATTGGTGCAATTCTAATAAAATTTAAAATTTGATCAAAAAAATTATATTTCACTTGAAGTTTATATCATATGTATAATAGAAAATAATTGATATTTTTTTAAGAGTTGATTTTATTTTTTTGTCATAAATTCATAGGCGGCAATCCACTTTAAGTATTTTTTTTTATCAGAACATATACTTTTGGTCATAGTATTATTGTGACATGACCATTTTTTGTCATTTACTCACAAAACGGTTTAAATATTAAACACAAGGGCATTTCAGTCTTTAATTATAGATTTCTTAAATATATATATATATATATATATATATATATATATATATATATATATATATATATATATATATATATATATAGAGAGAGAGAGAGAGAGAGAGAGAGAGTTAGGATCATATGAGAACAAGTGCTTAGGTGAGAACGTGAAAACACATCATGTGCATCCATCTAATATTTTTTAAAGGTCTAGATTAGATTAAGTGTGTGCGAACGCGCATTAAATGTGTGCAAACACACTAAATCGCGTTTGCACACATTTAATACGCGTTCGCACACACTTAATCTAATCTAGACCATTAAAAAATATTAGATGAATGCACATGATGTGTTCTCACGTTCTCAACTAAACACATATTCTCACTGGAACTCTACCATATATATATATATATATATATATATATATATATATATATATATATATATATATATATATATATATATATATATATATGTATATATATATATATAGTGGGTCAACCTACTTTGTATAAAAAAAAATAAATATTTTTATATTTAACGACATTTCGACGATTTTGTTGACGGATGACTAAAAATTATCATACCACAATAATACTATGACCAAATGAAGATGTTCTAATAAAAAAATGACTAACAATTGATTGTCACATATAAATGTAAGACAAAAAGTGAAATTAACTTTTTTTTTTTAATGTATAAAGAATATTTATATTAAAATATCACGTCTAAATACTACTCACATGAACAAGTTGATAAAAAAGAACACATGAAAGTCATATGGTAAGAAATGTTTGCACCATAGACACCGTAGTTCCTCTGTCATGGTGGACATGAGTTGTTTGGTGTTGACAATGTGTATGTTTTTTCTTCAATGCTTGATCCCACTTTGTACACATAATTACATCTCATTTAATTTATTTTCTTTAGTACTATTATTGTTGCTGCTGTTTTATGAAGGAAACTATTTTAGACAAGTTTAGATCAAATTTATATGGAGCAATTCTCGATTTCATGTTTAAATGAATTGATTTCCCCCACTCCAAATAGTGAAGGAGTTTGGGAATCCGTTTACTAAACCACTATTTAGAGCAACATTTTAAATTTCAGTGTATGGTGTCAATTAGCTAAGACAAATAATTATTCCGTATTTACTAAACATTCATTTTTGCTTATTGGCTAAGAACAATATTAGTGAGAGAATTCAAAATTGATATCTTGGTTAGCTTTGGACGGGAGAGGAAAAAAAATAATAAAGAAAAACATAAATCAATTGACGATCATCCTGAAACGTTAAGTGAGTTTGCTCCGTCACGTCAACACATGACTTTTTTTTTTTTTTTTGTTATGACAAAAAACTCTAAATTAACAACCCCACACCCCTTGACTTACACCTCAACCCCCCTCCAAATAATAATAATAATAAAATAATAATAATAAAATCAAGAAAAATGAATTAATGGATCGGAATGCTCTAAATCAATAATCTAAAGTTGGTCAAACCGATTAAAATGACTAAT